TTTCTCTTGTTCTTTCTTTTCTTTGCGTTTTATAATGTAATTAATCATTATTATTATAATTATAATTATTATAATGATGATAATAAGTATAATGATGATAATTATCATTATCATCCACCATACAATTTCTTTATTACATTTTGTTCCTTCTTCATTGATTCCATACCAAAATGAACATTTTGAACATTTATTATTTTTTGTTTCTTTACATTTATTAATATTTGAATAATGAATACATTCTTTATTTATTATTATATATTCTTCTTCACATTTATTACATTCTTTCTCATTTAAACATGTTATACATTTATTTCCACATTTTGAACATTCTTTATTTATTAAATAATATCCTGTTAAACATTCTCTACATCCATATTCTTTATCTATTTCTCCTTTACATCCTTTAATTGTTGTTGTTGATTTACATATTCCTGTTGAACTCATAAAATATCCTTCTCCACATATTATACATTTATCTTTTTGATTACATGTTAAACATTCTTTTTCACATTTTGAACATCCTTTCCCATTTCTATAATATCCTTTATTACATATTCCACATCCACTTCCATCTGCTAATATTCGTAAACATGTTCCATTTAATTCTTCATTTGATTGACATGTTTTATCATTTCTTAAATATTTATCATTAGAACAACTCATACAATATGTAGATGTTCCATAACATGTTTCACATTTATCATCACATTTTAAACATTTCATGTCTTTTGTTAAATAATATCTTTCTTTACATCTTTTACATCCATATGTATTTTGTTCTTCACAATATTCTATTTTTGTATTAATACATTCTCCGTTCAAATTAGGTGAATATGTATTTAAACATTCAACACATTTTCCATTAACAATGATTTATTTGAACAACATTCAATTCTTTGATATGGTTCTTTCTATAAATATTAAAATATTTGATTTATTAATTTATATTTTTAACTATTGGTTTGGATGTGTGTATAAATAATAAATTTGATGAAAGATAACAACTTCTAATAATAATTGTTTGCTTATAATATAGTTATTAATTAATTAGATAAAGATAATAAAGATAGAGTAATACTTCCAATAAATGAATTAAAAACCATCTTTTGTAAATATATGTAAGCAATCTGATATGTATTATTGAAACTAACATCATTATAATAACAAACAATTCAATTATATTTTGATTGAAACACTTATCATTTGATGTGGTTGATGTTACTTTATTAATTGTTCCATCATATGATAATATTAAATACCAAACATCATTAATATTAAATAATAGTAATATTTGAATTGATGTAAGTACTTTGAGTAGGTAAATGATAATGATAATCAATATTATCATATAAACGAACTGATAACTAACTAAGATTTCTAGTTATTCTTGTTGGAATATTTTCATTGGAAAATTCAAATTAAACATTTTTAAATGAATATGGAATATTAATTAAAT